GCAAATAAGCCGTGGTTTTCAGCGTCTTCCCTCGGTTTACACGCGCTGGTGTGGGATAGGGGTCAAATTTACTCCTCCGACTTCCGAGGGTTTTTCCGGAGTGGTTTCCGAACGGCGCGGCGTAGCCGCGCCAAATTTTGCATAGCTGTGGACAATTAAACGACGGATCGTGTAGTGTCAAAAATTGGATGTGCCTAGTAAGGTCGCTGCCCAACGGCAGGTCAAAGTCAGGCCATGGATTTACCAAGTCAATTTCTAGGGAATCCTTCGATCTGATGGAACAACGGAGTGTTAGACGAAGCCATACATCTCTGAGATACTTTCTTAGGCAACACAACAATTGAATGACCAAATTGAATTGAACTAGGGTCAGATATGAAAGTCAGACCAAGGTCAAAACCAACCTATTTATTTGTCTAGGACTTGCTGTATGGGGTAGCTTGTGGGGCTCATTCGAATTAACTGATAACAGGAACTGCATTAGACCTCTTCCATGGATTTCTTAAGTCAGAATAGATCACTGAACTAAAATTGCCCAGGTCAACATTTCGTTTGTAGGAGCATACCGCCCTGCGTTATCTTTGTCGCATATTCAAATGCAAGACTCAAGGCAGCCTTCTATTATTCTGGTCACCATGGCCTTCGAAAAGTAAAAAAAAAACGTCACTGACCTCAAATGAGCACGTGACTTTTGCTTACAACAGGTACCTAGCTTATGGGTACGCTTTGAAGACCAGCTTGGAGTTTGACCTTGTTTGACTTTATTTTAACTGAAGTTCATGACCAAGGAACGCCAAATTTTGACCTAAGGGAGTTCACGCACAGGTCAACACACCCTGTGAATTTGGCGTCTAGTTCTCTCGGTTCCTGAAATCTCAGGGGGATCATATTGACCCCCACCCGAACGAAGGGTATCCAGCCGACCATCCGGGCGCGTGTTAAAAAACAATCTGCGATAGCCAGTTTCATAGCTAATGGAGGAGCGCATAAGAGAAAGAATGTTTCTTTCAAATTGGGTGGGCAGGCTCGGCATACACGTAACCGGTGACCGATGAAGAGTAGACGGACAAATTTTCCCCCGCTTGGTTTCAATGCTATATATATATATATATATATATATATATATATATATATGCATATATGCATACCTATATATATATATATATATATATGCATATATGCATACCTATATATATATATATATATATATATATATATATATATTGTTGCACACGGTTATATATACATACATATGTTGTGGCACACGCACGGAGACCCAACACAAAGCTCGCCTGTCACGCCAAATGCTCAGCAACACAAAAGTCATCGCACGCTCCACACAGACACGAAGACTCATCTCTCTAGAAACGATACACACCCGCGAATGGGACCCTCTCATTAACAAGCAAACATTTGCGCGTGGAACCCTGTATATGAGCAGAGGGCGGAAAGCGCAGAGGCATTGAGTTTTTTTTTCGCGTGTCGCGGATTGGCAGTGTTGCTTGTCAATGAAAAGTATATGTTGGAACACGTAAATGGTTTTGTCTGTATTGCGATATGCATGCAATATGGCACATGTTGTAATGCATAAATGCCTTTGTCTGTGGTATGATATGCATGCAGTAGGGTCTAGCTTTGCCTGAAACGTCGGCTTACGCCAAATACTTACATATCCATCTTGAACTGCGCGAAAACCGTCAGATAAATGACGTAATAATGGTTTGAACTGCATTTAACCCGCCAGGTAAATGACGTAATAATGGTTTGAACTGCATTTAACCCGCCAGGTAAATGACGTAATAATGGTTTGAACTGCATTTAACCCGCCAGGTAAATGACGTAATAATGATGCCGACACCGGAGTACTGGTCTTGTTACGCAGTTTGCAAAAGACACCGTAATTGTGCAGCATGCCTAGCCTTTCCTCGAACGCCTAGCCTCGTCAAAGTCCTTCGACGTATCCATCCCGGACATCGCCTACTTATCCTGAAGACGCTGTAAGCGGGTGGAGAGGAACCAACGCTGTGCATGGACAGAACGTAGCTTTGGGCATTAGAGAGCGTTTGAATTCGTCCCCAACATATCTTCATTCGCCCGTTGCAGGCAGTAGCGAGGGATGTTGCCATTTACAACACGGAGCAATGTTGTCCGACGCGTGTTGAAGAAGATGCCTAATGGACTGGGTAAGTCGGCATACTGCATTATGCATATTCATATATGCGACATTACACATGTTTAAGATGGCGCAAAAGTTAGCTTAACACAGATCGATTCTGAAAGTGTGGGGGGGGGGGGGAGGGGAGCATATAACGGTGCTGGGCCATCCACCTAGAGAAGTGGGTGTTGGCCCGCTTGCCCCCCTGTTCCTACACACCTGGGGTCTACCTGGGGCATTTTGGGGCTGTTGAACGTGCGTGGATTGGCGCTCACTCACAATTTAACAGCGTTAAGCTTTCCTTTTCGATCGCTGCTCTGGTCAGCAAAAAGTTGACGTCGCGTCCCATGCGACTCCGCCGGACCTGCTGTCCCGCTGGCGACCCACCTGGTCGCACATGCTGTTGCTCCTGTTTTGGGGATGGTCCAGGCCGAATCCACCGTGTGTTATTTCGCCTCAATTGCCAAACTCACACGGATCAATTCTGAAGAAGTGTGCAGGGGGGGGGGGGGACAGTAAACATTGCTGGCACACCCACATTGAGTGGGGGAGTGCTCAGCCCCCTTGGCCCTCTGTTCCTACATTTTTGGGGGTGGCTTTTGGGACCTTGCTCCTCCGCCTTGAGGTGGGGGTAGGGGAGAGGCGGGGCTCCCTGGAGCCGAAGGCCAAGTAGATTTTGGCGGTTTAAGGCGCCTTAGAGCTTGTGAATTATACAAGACCGAGGCTTGATCCCAGGTTTAAATGGATGCCCCGAATAAAGAGACAGACCCCACATAGTGACAAAGCGGCTTTCCTTGGCTAAGAGGACCCCCTATGCACCGACTTGGCTCCTGCCTGGGCAAAATAGTGGCTACGCAGCTGCAAGGGTACCTCCTAGTGCCGAGGGCTCCAATACTTGTTGGCGGTTTGAAGGAAGTGTTCCACATTTGTATGGGGTTTTGAACTGAAACAGCCATCTTGAAGATCATTTGGTGCAGTTCACAGCCCTGCCCCTCTTAAGACCTAAACACCCTAGTTTCTGAGATAAACGCCCGCGAAGATATTCCGACAATTTCGGGGAGACTATTTCAAGGTTACCCAGGCGCCCATGACGCCAAAATAGCGTCATTCAAATCTTGAGACTCCACTGCAAGGTACGATGACGTAATCAAACAATGACGTACTGCCGAAGAACAATAACTCAACAATGAAACTCTGTTGCCTAGAGCAGTCCTTTCCATTTGAAAGTATGTCAGTAGTTATAAGTGAGCTTATCTAAAGCTTGCTTCAATGTCTTCAACTGTGGGGCATTCCCTTAAGACGCTCGCGAGGCTCTAACACGCCAAAAACGGATCCACGAGACATCAAAATGTTATGCCAGATCAGTCCCCAACTAAAAAAACAGGGTCCCTGAAGCGAAGAAATGAGGTCGCCATGGCTGAAAGCCCATTACGCTCTGATGCCGACCTGGAAGAAATCCTGGCAACGCCACTGGCCACAACCTCACATCATGTGGCATGCCGATCAGCAATTGGTTCAACGCGCGGGAGATTCGATTTCGGCTGTTGCCAGGGACTGTTTGACTGTTGCTAGGGGCCGCCGATTATCGCGCGGCTTGCGGCTATCGCGGCGCACGCGGCGAGACAGTATCCTGTGTGAGCAGCGAGCAAGCGGCGCGCTATGTTGACAGTGCCACTCGGCACACTTGTCTGGTATCAGAAATGCTGCAGACCGCTCTGCGCCGCGCCGCGATGTCTGCGTGGCCTTCGCGGTAGCTGGACTCCAAGCTTACTCTCTTTCCTCCTGGTCAGAACCTGGCGTTTTCGATTAGCGTTAGCATTCTCGGGATGAAATGTGCTTACTGTCTGTCGTTGACGGGGTTTGTAGCCAGCCAGTGACATTCTGCGACGAGCTTGTGTTTCGCATGTGCGTTGTCGGCCGAGAAGGCAGTTACGGCATAACGGTATCGGACAGCAGCGAGCGAAAAAATCGGTCGCCTATTGGTACAAAAAACGGCTACGGTCTAGGGTCTAAAGTTTAAACCATGGAGCAGACACCGCCGATAGATTGTCATACCAGTGCAAGATATCATAGTATGATATATGCCCCTGTTGGGCAAAATACTGGACACCCCCCCACACCCACACCCACACACCCACACACCCACTCACCCACACCCACACCCACACCCACACCCACACCCACACCCACACCCACACACCCACACACACACACACACACACCCACACCCACACCCACACACACGCACACACACACACCCACACCCACCCACACCCACACCCACACCCCACACCCACACACACCCACCCACACCACACACCACACACCACACACACACACACACACACACCACACACACACACACACACACACACACACACACACACACACACACACACACATATATATATATATATATATATATATATATATATATATATATATATATATATATATATAATATATTTGGCCCTTGTTGGATCAAGGAACATTTGAGTGATTCTGAGCGTGGTAACGGACGATTTGATATAACCCCTCCTCCAATTTTCATATTTTCTTTCATGCACAAATCACTTTTTAACAAAAAACAAGATACAGGTTTGCACCAAGCTGTGTTAGCCTTTCGCAACAACGGTTCGTCACTTCAGCTGCTTTCGTTTCGGCCTAGGCGGCCGTGCCGTCCGCGGCATCTCGTGCCGCCCCCCGCTCCCACGCGCCTGGGCGCGCCTCTGCCGGAGCGACCGTCTCCGATGCACGTGTACCGGCCCGCGCCGGCGGCCGTTATCGGCGGGCGGCGCGGCGCCCGGCGCCCAGGTAGGCCTACAGACGGCCGCCGGCGCGCCGGACCGTCGCCACACCGTCGCAGGTGGAGACCGACCTAGGTCACACGAAGGAGGCCTCGGGACAGCTGCGGTCAGACAGAGGCGGCCTCAGGGCGGCAGGGGTCCGACCCTGAGGTCAGCGGTCACCATGCGGGTGGAGTGGCTGGTGCTGGTGCTGGTGCTGGTGCTGGCAGTGCCGACGACGCCGCAACGGGTGAGTGGCTGCAGTGGCTGTCATTCATCCGGGTCATGACGTGACCTTTGACACATGACCTTTGCCCGAGTGGTCCGGGCCTACCTCACCTCAGGTCATGGCTCTCTCCCGACAGTCGGCCACCTCAGGTCATGGCTCTCTCCCGACAGCCGGCCACCTCGGATCATGGCTCTCTCCCAACAGCCGGTCACTCCGGATCATGGCTCTCTCCCGACAACAAGCTATCCCGGATCATGGCTCTCTCCCAACAGCCGGTCACCTCGGATCATGGCTCTCTCCCGACAGCCGGCCACCTCAGGTCATGGCTCTCTCCCGACAGCCGGTCACCCCGGATCATGGCTCTCTCCCGACAACCGGCTATCCCGGATCATGGCTCTCTCCCGACAGCCGGCCATCTCGGATCATGGCTCCCTCCCAACAGCCGGCCATCTCGGATCATGGCTCTCTCCCGGCAGCCGGTCACTTTGGATCGTGGCTCTCTTCCAACAAGCTTTCAGATTTTGCAGCTCTTCGGATACACTACGATGCCACTTTTTGAGGCAACTGGCAACTGTTTGTAACAATTCTGCAACTGTTGTCATTTAAGTCGCTGCAAAGAAACAAAAAACCCTGAATTCAGACAGGCTGCTGGCTATGTTACAGCCACAGTGAAAATGAGCCCAATCCCAGTTTCAACGCCCCAGTTTGCTCCACAAAGACGCCCGAGGCCCCTCTTATAGTCTACCGACTGTAAAGAATGTTGCTAAGCGTGGTTAAATTGCGCGTTTCCATTACCGGAGCTTTTCCGATAACAGCGGTTGATAATTCCCGCCTCAAAACAGTCGCGCATGAAGAGCAGTCAGCATGATGCCTTGCCAGCATTCGACAATGCAGCGTTCAAAGATACTTTGTGAGCATCCTGGCTGTCCTGCACGCTCCACCTTAGCTGCGTCCCTGTACTGTCCTGCGGCGGGCGCACTTCTGTCCCCCGACAACGGTGCGTGAAGAGCCGGCGATGCGGCGGGGCTGGTCGGCGCGGGCCACTTGGGCAAAGGTCAGCGGAAGCAAGACAGCCTTGACCACAATTAGCGGCGGACTTGACGTGCCCATTTACAGTACATTCCATTGCCAAACGTGCACATTGGTGATTTTTTTACTAAGATTATAAGCTGTGTGCGTGAAACTCAGTAAGGAATTGGACACCTTTCGCGCCACATTTCAACGCCAGAGGTTTTCTGCATGGCAAAATCATGCTGGTTGTTGAGGCTTAGACTAAGCCACGGGTGGCGTCGCCCAGCACAACTCATCTTGGAACGATGCAAGGGAGTTCAATGACAACTTTGTTCAATCTAGAAAAAAAGGACAACTGAACCAAGATGCTCAAATAAAAGATACATCTTATCAAAGGCATCTTGATGGGTCAGATAGGAGCTATCTAGTAATGGTCTTCGCATCGTCCTATCATCTCGAATTTCAAACGATACGGAGAGAGCGCACCATCTCCACCTCTCATGCGGCCTGAGACTGATAGTGTCATAAACAAGACGTCGAGGCAGCGTTGCTCGGCCGATGGGTCGGCCACGGACCCTGCTCCGTTCTCTCAAGCATTGAACGATTGCGGCGTGCAGACGTTACAACTTGCCTGCGCCGAACGCTGACCAATGAGGAGGTAGCTCTGTGAGAGACGTCATAGGAAGTCTGACGCTGGAGCGATCGCTGACCAATAAGGAGGTAGCTCTGGGAGAGACGTCATAGAAAGTCCGACGCTGAAGCGATCGCTGACCAATGAGGAGGTAGCTCTGGGAGAGACGTCACAGGTGGTCTGACGCTGGAGCGACCGCCGACCAATGAGAAGGTAGTTCAGGGAGAGACGTCACAGGTGGTCTGACGCTGGAGAGACCGCTGACCAATAAGGAGGTAGTTCGGAGGGAGCGACGTCACAGGTGGTCTGACGCTGGAGCGACCGATGACCAATGAGAAGGTAGTTCGGGAAGAGATGTCACAGGTAGTCTGACGCTGGAGCGACCGCTGACCAATAAGGAGGTAGTTCAGCGGGAAAGACGTCACAGGTGGTCGGACGCTGGAGCTACCACCAGCCGGCTGTGGTCGGGGCAAGTTGTGGGGGCACAGAGAAGACCCCACGCTGTTGAACTAGAGGGCTGATGTATGTTATGGGCGGACAATGATCCAGTATTCCTCAACGTTGCTGTAGACTAACAGACGCACACACACACACACGCACACACACACACACACACACACCACACACACACACACACACACACACACACACACACACAACACACACACACACACACACACACACACACACACACACACCACACACACACAGTGAGCTGCAACATTCCGAGCCGCACTGCGAAAAACAAAGACAAGGTGTCCGTGTTTCAACTCTTCAGATCTTCCCTGTCTTCCGATTTGCATTATCATCTTCATAATCTACTTCGTCATATTCATCTTCTTCGTCATATCGATATTTTCATTGGTCGCTGCGCCGGACCGAACCAGTCACCCTGGTCCTTGCATATTAAGCAAGGGACTTGAACGCATCCCATCCAAGGGTGCAAGAGATCCGGTGGGGACGGGTGGAGGACAGGAGGGCTGAGCCTCTCAAGTTTCTGAAAATTTAGCATTGCCCATTTCTGTATGACCTGCAAAGAGCTTACAAAAGTGGCTGATCCCCCCACCCCCTTTCTCCAACTTCAGAGAGCTTCCGGTGCCCCTGATTCCTTCCCTCACACAACTGTAAGCAGTCTCCTGCCCTGTACACCCTTAACTGAGCGCGACGATCGGCAATGCGCACTGTAATTATCTAGCAGAAGTCTAGAAACAAAACATTGCAACTTTGGAATTCGCGAAAGGCAGACCTGAGTACGTGTCAGGGGTGATGATATGTAGCGTTTTCGTTGTGCGCGGGCCCACGAACCGCGGGCCATGGGCCAGGCGCAGGCCACAGGAGACGGCTGACCCTCCACTGGCCACAGGAGACGGGCGGCCCTCCACTGGCCACAGGAGACGGCTGACCCTCCACTGGCCACAGGAGACGGGCGGCCCTCCACTGGCCACAGGAGACGGCTGAACCTCCACTGGCCACAGGAGACGGGCCGGCCCTCCACTGGCCACAGGAGACGGCTGAACCTCCACTGGCCACAGGAGACGGGCGGCCCTCCACTGGCCACAGGAGACGGGCGGCCCTCCACTGGCCACAGGAGACGGGCGGCCCTCCACTGGCCACAGGAGACGGCTGAACCTCCACTGGCCACAGGAGACGGGCGGCCCTCCACTGGCCACAGGAGACGGGCGGCCCTCCACTGGCCACAGGAGACGGGCGGCCCTCCACTGGCCACAGGAGACGGCTGACCCTCCACTGGCCACAGGAGACGGGCGGCCCTCCACTGGCCACAGGAGACGGGCGGCCCTCCACTGGCCACAGGAGACGGGCGGCCCTCCACTGGCCACAGGAGACGGGCGGCCCTCCACTGGCCACAGGAGACGGCTGACCCTCCACTGGCCACAGGAGACGGGCGGCCCTCCACTGGCCACAGGAGACGGCTGAACCTCCACTGGCCACAGGAGACGGTTCGACCCTTCCCCGGCGCCGCGGTCTAGCGTGTCGTCGCATCCCCTCCCCCCCCCCCCTTAGAAATCTATGGGATCGGCCCGGGGTCGGGCCGAGGCAGATATGTACGTGGTGATTGTGCAGAAGGCCATTTATGGAGCTGAGACTCTGAGACTTATGAGCTGAGCTGAGACTCATGGACTCCAGGAGCAGAGAACGCCTCTGAACGGGCATGTGCGAGAAGGTTCTGGCCCCCAGCCACGGGTCACGGTGTCACGTGTCACGATTCGGGACCTCTGAGCACTACGCTCTTCTGCGTTCCCCTTCGTTCAGACATTTGATGCACGTTGTTGCATGTTGTTGCCAAACAATAAGCAAGGTGTATAGTCATCTGTGATGAAATCAGGTTTCTGACCCGAAATCTTGGGTCGTTTATCACTAAGTTGGCTGAGAAAGCCAACATGACTAGTCTTCCACGTGTGTTCATGTAGGTGAGTAAAAACTTAAGCCTGATGCAAGTTAAGCTTTTTGTTTCGAGGCCGGGTTTTGGCCTTGTGTCTTCATTCACGGCGGCTGAGACTTGACAATGCGCCAGGGCCGAAAAGACGTCCGTAATATAAGAATTTTGGCTGTTATGAAACTGTGGTTCTTTATGACGTTATTATACGTACTCCCCACAACTCACCGGCGCAGCGGCGCACGCGCTTGCACGCGGATCAGAGAATCGGCACACGCATCCGCACACAGATCAGAGCACTAGCACACACATCTGCACGCGAATCAGAGCACCGGCACACACATCTGCACGCGGATCAGAACACCGGCACACACATCTGCACGCAGATCAGAGCACCGGCACACACATCTGCACGCGGATCAGAGTACCGGCACACACATCTGCACGCGGATCAGAACACCGGCACACACATCTGCACGCGGATCAGAAGACCGGCACACACATCTGCACGCGGATCAGAGCACCGGCACACGCATCTGCATGTGGATCAGGGCAGAAAACAATAAATTCGTTGGCGAGCGTAACCGTAGCAGCGCGGGCAAGCAGACCCATCAGTGCGTTATTTTTTAAAAATGTTATTGATTACTTAATCAATGTTCTTGGGTATGATTAGTTAAACAGTGTTTTGAGAAGCACTAAACTTTTTCAACTCAAGTGAAAATTTGGTGCAGTTTGTGATGGCTGTTTTGCGATTTGGCAATGCACAAACCCATCACCTGCGCCTACTTCGCCACCTCCTGCAGCTGAGGCAGCAAGCCCTCGCCCGCTGCGCGCTCGGCGAGCGAATGGAGAATCTGAACCCGTGCGAGAGCCCGAGACGTGATCGACAAGTCCTCCCTTCCCAGACGACTTCCATTTACGTGATCACGTTCCCCAGGCTCTTCACACTGCCTTCACATAGCACGGCTGACCTACAGGTCAGGTCACGTGAGGTCAAATCACGTCCTTGCGGTCGTCGCTGGCGGACAGGCATGCTCGGCAATTACGTGGAACGTGAGGGGGAGGAAGTGGGGAGAAGGTACGGCGATTACATCGCCTGCGATGATCGCTATTTTAGGCTCTGTCCCCCCCCCCTTCCGCTCCCAATTTTGAGATAAAAGTGGGCCAATTCCTTTGGAACTCATTTGTCGAAGCATCATTGGAGCAGCTTTTGTCATTTCTCGCTGCTCAGCCCACAACTTATGTTGCGAGACTACGCCCGTTTTGGAGGTCGCGAAAGGCTACCTGTATGCTTATTCCACTATACGCAAAGGCCCTGAGATAAACTGCCGCTCTCTTTCAGCAGAATACTGTGCTAGGAAGAATGCTTGCAGCACCTTTCAGTTTCTATCAGTGGCCGGTGGGGAGTAGCATGAACTGCGTACGGGGAGTGTGTGCAGGAGTTGTGATGAGTGTCAGACGACAGTGACGTCAAACGACGTCAGACAGTGACGTCAGACAACGTCAGACAGTGACGAGAGCTCATGGCTGCCACTGAGGCTTACCGAAGCACTCAGCTGCTGAGGCTACATGGCGTCGCCTGCCTCCTACCCCGGCAGAAAGCGCGGGCACGGCGCCGAATCGAACCCCGTACGTCTGGCTTCTCAGACGCACGACGGTCAAATTGTTACACAGCCGGCACCATAACCTATTGCTCAGTAACGAAGGATCGCGAATGCTGAAATATGGCAGCTAAATAAGGCAACAAAAAATTAGCACTGGGTCGGCTGAGTAAAATGCGTGCTACCAGAAGATACCGTCAGGCATTTTCTTACTCTAAATTTGTATTTCCATTGCTTACGGTTACAGCAGTGCAAAGCGTACGTTGGATCTCCGGGATTTACACCTTGGATTTTTTTGCATCGTTTCATGATATTGCCTCTGCTCTCCTCTCCCTCCCTGAATTGATTCGTAAACCCACCAGCGTCGTAAGTATCCTTTGATACAGCAAACTATATTTATTCTGAAATGTTTGTCAAGCTGAGAGACCGATGCTGACTTGCCTGGACCTGAAATAAGTGTAAAAGACCGCATTCGATTTCCGCAAGGACACGTGGACAATTCACATGTCTATTTTTGGCGCGGTGAGCTTTCGTGAAAGCCCCTGTCAGTCAAATGAGCTGCCTTGTCATTTCATTTGGCCACCAGTTGAAAAACATTACATGTTGATTACTGCATGATTATTCCGCCTCTGAGGGCTCTTACCCTCGCCCGTGGATTGATAAGCGCCGTTCCGCGACGTTTCTCAGTACGTTACATGTAGATACACCATTGTATGTGTGTGTATATGTATGTATGTGTGTCTGCCCGCATTTTCCATGCGTGTCTGCTCGTCTGCCCGCCCCCTAGTGTTTGCTCATGATCTTGTGATGTGATGCACGATGCCACCGACCCGACCTGACCTGACCTGACCTTCCAACCTGACTTGGTGTAAAGTGACCTGGTCTGCCGACCTGACCTGACCTGCCAACCTGATCTAGCCTAACCTGACTTGTTGACTAGATCTACCGACCTGACCTGACCTGACCTGACCTGACTGTCCGCCTTGTCTGTCGGCAGGCGCCGGGCACCGACCAGTGGTGCATCTGCCAGGGCGCGCGCGGCCTTCCGGGCGTGCCTGGCCTACCCGGACAGGTCGGCATGCAGGGTCTGCATGGCGAAACGGGTCCCATGGGCCCGTTCGGGCGTGTGGGCCCGCGCGGCGACCGGGGCCCATCCGGGGACCCGGGCGCGCGCGGCGACCGCGGCGAGCCCGGCCTCCTCGGCTTCAACGGAGCGCCCGGCCTGCCGGTCAGTATCGAAGGCGGCGCCGCCGGTCGGGATCACAGCGACCCCGGGGTCACTGAGGCCTCGGGGTCACCGACGTCGGACACGCGGAACACCGGGAGGTCATTACGGTTGAACCCGGCGCGTTGAGCCGCGTGTTTTAACCCTCGCTGTGCGTGTGAAGGGGGTGCCTTTCCTGCCGGGAGGGGCGTGCTTCTATAAAGGCCCGCGGTGCTGTCAACGCTGGCGCTGTTGCGCTGCGTTCGTGTCGGCTTTGCCTGGGATGATTCGGCGAGTAGCGCACCAATCAGCGGAGCGCGCCGTTTGAATACAGTTTGACGCGTTTGGCCTGTGCTCTGTGTTAAGTTCTGGAAGGTTGGCTTTGTGAATTATGATAGTGCCTTGCTGCGAGTGGGAGAGCCGAACAGTGCTGCCGACACAACGTTGCGTGTAGTGATTTCTGAAGGTCATGTCTGATGGATGTGTCTGATAGTGCTGTATGCTGGTGATGTCTGCTAGTAATTCCGATATCTCACGTGAAGCCCAGACGGTGAGCAGCAATGGGCTTGCCACTGACCGTCTGTGCGTCGTGTGGCTGTCTGCTAATCGTCCACGTGTCGCATGGCTGTCAGGTGAACTGCCGCGTCTCACATGGGTGTAGGCGTCCACTGACCTGTTGCCGTCACATGGCTGTCCACTGGTCTGTCGTCTAGCAGATGGCTGTCCACTGACTTGCTGTATATCACATGGCTGTCCACTGGCCAGCCGTATGTCACATGGCTGCCCACTGGCGTGCTACCTAGCACATGGCTGTCCACTGGCCTGCCGCCTGCCACATACACGGCTGTGCTTTGACCTGCTGTCTGTCACGTGGCTGCCCTCTGACCTGCCGTGCGTGGCAGGGCGGCCCCGGTCCGCTGGGAGCTCGGGGTGACCCCGGTGTCAAGGGCTGTACCTGCGTGGACGGCCTCCCGGGCCGGGACGGCCTACCGGGCCTGATCGGGCCGCGCGGAGCAGCAGGTGAGGCTTTTTGGGGGGGGAGGGGGGTGAGGGGGAGGGGAGTGGGTGACGTCCGACGTCAGTTGCAACACCGGCAGTCACCGGCGTGAGCCACGACCACCACTATTTGCTGTTTATGTTGTTTGCTGTTTATGTTTATGTTTATTTGCTATCATGTTTACCAGGTCATTTTCCGTCGCTTTAGTCACGAAATCGACTGGCATTTCGAGTTCTACGATTGCGCTGTTATAGACAGTGATATGATATGAGGCGTTGTGTGTTTATGTATGTTTATGTTGCATGCACATCAGTATGTATTTATGTGTGTCGCCCCGCATACTTGAATTAAGCAATTGATTCCATTGCTTTTTCCAAGTCCATTGGAACCGGTCATGTCTATTAGGAAATTCTGCGCAGTTAACTTCTTGTACCCGCAAAGGACGCGACATTGAACATACGAGATGTTGTCCTAAGAGATGTATTCGGTGGGTCACGGGCTGTGAGCTGCAGCTGCCCCACTCTGACACCGTGTCACGACACCAACGGTAGCTCACTCTGACACAGTGTCACGACACCAGCGGTGGCTCACTCTGACACCGTGTCACGACACCAGCGGTGGCTCACTCTGGCACCGTGTCACGACACCAGCGGTGGTCCACTCTGACACCGTGTCACAACACCAGCGGTGGCTCACTCTGACACCGTGTCACGACACCAGCGGGGCCCACTTAGCGCCGTGTCATGAAACCAGCGATGGTTCACTCTGACGCAGTGTCACGACACCAGCGGTGACCCACTTAGCGCCATGTCATGACACCAGCGGTGGCCACTCTGACACCGTGTCACGACACCGCAGGTCCCAGCGGCCTGCCCGGACTGCCGGGCGATCCAGGCGAAGGAGGCTCGGCCGGCGCCAAGGGCGACCCCGGCGAGGACAAACCGCCCGGTCCACCGGTGAGAGCTCCCACCCCCGGCCGGCGACGGGGCCGGCGCCTGCGCACCGGTGACCGGAGCCTGCACACTGGTGACCGGCGCCTGCGCACCGGTGACCGGCGAATGCGCACTGGTGACCGGAGCCTGCACACTGGTGACCGGCGCCTGCGCACCGGTGACCGGCGAATGCGCACTGGTGACCGGCGCCTGCGCACTGGTGACCGGCGCCTGCGCACCGGTGACCGGTGCCTGCGCACTGGTGACCGGCGCCTGCGCACTGGTGACCGGCGCCTGCGCACTGGTGACCGGCACCCGCGCACTGGTGACCGGCGCCTGCGCACCGGTGACCGGCGCCTGCGCACTGGTGACCGGCGCCTGCGCACTGGTGACCGGCGCCTGCGCACTGGTGACCGGCGCCCGCGCACTGGTGACCGGCGCCCTCGCACCGGTGACCGGCGCCCGTGACCGCAGACCATGGGCGGCAGACCGGCGCCGCCGTCGGAAGTGGCCTTCCGCGCGAATGTCGAACTGTGCTGTGCTGCTGTGCTGCTGTGCTGGGCTATGCACTGTGCTGCGACGGCTCGATCGACGGTTGAGGTTTTCTGCGAACATATTTGGCAATGACTTTTTTGTGATGCGACTGGATGCCTATAATGCTGAACTTAAAAGAAGAGCTGAAAAGTGATTACGCTCTGCTTCCTACGTTTTTTTCCTGTTGTTAGTTTCCGCCTCTTAGTGGAATGTAGCGACCTGCAATTTGTCGCTTTCCGGTGTTAACATACGGCCCTTTGCGTCGCTGGGAAAGTGGAAGGGGCGCTTGGGGTTGATTGTTCATGGGTAGCGGTCAGAACGAAAAGCTGTGCGAGTTCTAACAAGCTGTTTGCAATTAGGAAGCCTTGAAGAATGTAACTTAGTTAATTGGAGCTTGAACATGTCAGAAGGATGGAAAAGCGTAAACCTTCCCAGTGGCGTCGTTTCCCCCGAAATCCCGCACATCTGACACGTGACCTCTGACCCCGCCATTTGATCTCTGACCGCAGGGCCTGCCGGGCTTCGCAGGACGGCCAGGCTACAAGGGTCAAGAGGGCGAACAAGGATATCGCGTAAGTGTCTCCCTTCATCGATGGTTGCAGGATCTGAACGCACTGCGCGTGTCAGGCTGCATACTTGTTCACTTCTCCACGACGGCGAATGTTATTGAAGCGTTGTTCAAGGGAACGCTTTATTATCAGTTGAGGATATTGTGGATCAATTATCATCAGATAATCAGCAGCAATTTCGTTCATATATAATATATATATATATATATATATATATATATATATATATATATATATATATATATATATCAGCATTGTAACTACGTAACTATATATTTAAGTAATGAGTAATAAGTAATTTCATCAGATGTCGTGGAAATTGTAATTTATAACTACTGATATACTTCCAATGTTTTTTGTTTATGCGTTTATGTGTTAATGTGGACCACTCCTTGTAAAGGGGTATTTCAAATTTCTATGGAGTTTTGAAGTGAAAAAGTCATGTTGAAGATCATTCGGTGCAGTTCACAGTCCTGCCATTCTTAAGACCTGAAGCCCTCTAGATTCTGACCTACACCACCGCAGACATCAACGTTCTATTTCTTGCGGACTGCATCAAGGCATCCAGGCATCCAGGCATCCAGGCATCCAGGCCATCCAGGCATCCACGACTGCCATAATAACGTTATTGAAATCTTATCATTGCACTTGGCCACTGCGACGATCAATGCCAAGAAAAATATAATTGTCAAGTCATTCATATCTGACTTTCGTGGGCACGATTTCCAGATAAAACGTCTGGAGAGCCCACAGGTCGTCAGTGGGTTCTCAATCAATGTTGTGCGAGGTATAATTACGCAGTCAAACAATGACGTAGTGAGGAGCACATTTGCTAAATAGAGAAATTGCGTTGTCTAGAGTTGCATTTTCCACTTAAAAGTGCATCGATAGTTATCAGTGAGCATATTTCATCCTATCCGATGTTTTCCATTGTGTCACTGTGTCTATTGTGTCTCCTCTGGACGCCGAATATCTTCAAATGTGGGGCAATCCCTTTACAGGAACCGTTCTTCAGTGCTTTAGCGCTTATAAGGCCCTCGTAGTGCTTCACAGCTCTGAAGGGGACAATGCCCGAAGCGTCTGATAATGTCCGTGCAATGGCGACTCACCCACCACCCTATACAGCATACGGGCCGACAGGCATTAAGAAGATGAAACGATGCCTTCAAACATTGATTTCTCTACGGTCGTAAAACTTCATTGGAACGGACACCGTGTGACCGTACTGCGCAGCTCTGTTCAAATGTCGCTGTCGTATTTTCACGATCATGCTGGATTGTGACGTCATGGAGGATCGCTCTGTTGGAATGAAGCGCGTGCATTAACGTTGGAATATGACGCCGCCGTTATTTGTCGTGCATCTCTACCGGAATGCGCGCCAATTTAGCACGCGAATCCTTCGCTCGACTCCACCTCTTTTGGAATACGTCACTGCATGACTGCATTGGAAGCGACGGTATAGACTGCACAGAAGACTGCACAGAAATCAGAAATAGGCTGCACCATAGTCTGCTGGAATATGATGTGCGCGTCGGAACACTGTTGGAACGTAGCACCCCTTACGTGAGGTGACACTCGGACACTGTGAGGTGACACTCGGCCACTGTGAGGTGACACTCGGCCATGGTGAGGTGACACTCGGACACGGTAAGGTGACACTCGGCCATGATGAGGCGGCACTCAGACACGGTGAGGGGACATTCGGACACGGTGAAGTGACATTCGGATACGGTGAGGTGGCACTAGTACATGGTGAGGTAACACTCGCACATGGCGAGGTGACATGCAGGGTACATGCATGTCACCTGATGCAGGGTACATGCGTCTGATGCAGGGTACATGGTGAGGCGATACTAGGACATGGTGAGGCGACACTCGGACATAAGGTATAAGGTAAGGTAGCTCTCGAGCATGGTGACGTGACGCTGGGTCAGGATGTTACCCCTTCACACCCCGCCGCGCTGCGCCGCTGTTGCAGGGCTCGGTGGGGCCAGTGGGCATGCCGGGCCGACGTGGTGAGCCGGGCGAGGACCGCCACGGGCCAGCCGGGCCGAAGGGCTTCCAGGGGGAGCAGGGCGCACCCGGCTCTGACCTGACCTATCTGGACCCGGACATCAGCCGACCAGGACCAGCGTAAGGCCCGGCGCGGGCGCGGCCCCGCTCCGGGGCCCGCCGCGGGAGGGAGGGGGGGGGGGATAAAGAGGCGCAGCTGCGCCGTGCCGCGTAAGGTGGCGAGGCTTCCGACATGCGGAAGGGCCCGGTGCTCCGCGTGCAGCATCAGGCGGCAGCCTCGCGGGCTACGGCAGCCGAAAACTAGGCACAGAAGCCAGCATTTTCGGCCCAACTTGTCTTAAAATGCAATTTCTAAGTTGTCATTAAGAGGACATGGATGTCGCGTCAATCAGCTACCAAACTCAGGCCCAACGCCGATAAAACGTGCTGTGAGTGGACTCCACGCTCACATTGCCCGAAAAAGAAACCGACTCACATCACCTGACCCCGCATTGAGCCCTCTTGTCCGCCTCGATACGCCAACGGGTCTCGAAAAGACCCATTTGGATATTCTTGAAGGTCACCTCAGCATGGTCTGCAGGCATTTGGCAGACTTAGGAACGAGGCGGCCGAGCAGGCCGCATTTCTCCTAAGCATCGTGGGGGTTGCCACGATTCAATCCGAACCTGATTGCCGTGCCCGGTCCAATGTAAAGGCTGCTTACGGTTTATTTTGTTTGTGTTAGAAGCTGTTTGGACCCGGTACGAATGAAACGGTGGATAAGCACTGTAGCCAGAAACCAGCATTGCACTGCTATTAGAGACCAGCATTGTGCTGTTACCATGCGCCTTCAAATGTCATGTCTTGATGCGTCCTAGCAGCGCCCACTGATGTCAAGTGATCCCCGAGATAGCGCATTGTGACTGAGACGTCGACCTTTGGTCGCGCAGCACTTCACGCAGCCCGCTGTGACCGTGCGGTGACGGGGGTGCCCCGCTGTGACCGTACGGTGACGGGGTGCCCCGCTGTGACCGTACGGTGACGGGGGTGCCCCGCTGTGACCGTGCGGTGACGGGGTGCCCCGCTGTGACCGTACGGTGACGGGGGTGCCCCGCTGTGACCGTGCGGTGACGGGGTGCCCTGCTGTGACCGTGCGGTGGCGGTGGTGTCCTGCTGTGACCGTGCGGTGACGGGGTGCCCTGCTGTGACCGTGCGGTGGCGGTGGTGTCCTGCTGTGACCGTACGGTGACGGGGTGCCCCACTGTGACCGTGCGGTGACGGGGTGCCCCGCTGTGACCGCGCAGTGACGGACGTGCCCGCTGTCTGATGCAGGGGGCCGCCGGGCCTCCCTGGCCCGCTGGGCTGGCCAGGAGAGCCGGGCGCCTATGGCCCACCGGGCCCTGGCGGTCAACCCGGCTGGCCCGGCACGCCCGGCCGCAAGGGACCACCCGGCTGGCGGGGCAGCGACGGACCACGTGGCAAGCTGGGCCGACCTGGCCCGCCGGGGCAGTTCGGAGCCAAGGGCGTGCTGGGCACGGCTGGCGAGACCGGCCGGCCAGGCCTGCCTGGTCTCAAGGGCCTGCCGGGTGTGGCCGGCGTGCCGGGGAGGCCCGGGCTGCAGGGTGACCCAGGCCCCAAGGGCCTCTACGACCCGAGCATCGGTGGCCCGCTGCTCGGGCCTCCCGGCGACCAGGGCGACTACGGCGCGCCGGGCCCCGCCGGCCTGCCCGGCCTGGACGGCCTGGACGGCAGGCCGGGCCCGCGCGGCTGGCGGGGCCCGCCAGGGCCCGACGGACCCGCGGGCCCGCCGGGCCGCCAGGGACCGTCAGAACCCGGCGCCCCGGGCCGCGACGGCCGCCCGGGCGGCGAAGCCGGGCCCCGTGGTCCGGCGGGCTCCCGAGGCCCTGAGGGCTTCGTCGGCCGCCGCGGCCCCCCGGGAGCCCCCGGCCGCGGTTTCGACGGCCCCGACGGCCGGCCAGGACGCCCCGGCCTCGACGGCTTGCCCGGACGCCGAGGAGACACCGGCTTCCAAGGCGAGTGTCCACAGGCGGTGGGCGCGCGCCAGCCGCCGCGAGCGCCGCCCGGCAGACCGGTGACCGCGTGTTGTCCATCGACGTGCTGCGTGGTGGCGGTCCCGCGTAAGGTCTGCTGATGGTGGCGGGTTGTGTGGTTCGTTCGGGTCGGAGGCCTGGCTGGTAACATTTCGGGAAGGCATCGTCGCCCAATTTTCCTGGATATACGTTATTAGTTCGTATTATTTTCTATTGTGGCTACGCTTGATTTATTTCGTCCGAGACGTGATCGTTGAATGTCGGGCGTAGTAGATTTTAAGTTTTGGACTCCTTTTAACTGAGCTTTTTAACACAAAGGTACCATAACTTGGAAAACCCTGCAGCGCTGCGCTGCGCTGCGCTAGCGCTGCATCTCCAGAACAAAAAATTGAGTAAAGTACAAAATAAAATACGAAATCAGAACTATCTTTTCGGCAATTTTATTTTCTACACGTGGCCATGACTTTTGCTTAAATCATCCCTCGTTTGTATATCGCTAAATGTACCAAAACGTTCGCATGCAGGCGTTTGAATTAGGTTAGGGGTAATTCAAAGCTCTTTGAAGAATTTGGGGTATGTTGTAAAGAAGATTCAATGTGTTGTTCTTTTGGTTCCCCGTGTGTACTCTGTGAATACAGCTCGCAAGCGCTGATCATTAAGTTGCAGTAAAATGTCCTTTTGCCCGCACACCTGCAGTGAGTCAGTGAAACACCAACACGAATGCTCAATACGAATTTTATCGCTGACCTCTTTGCCTTTGCCTTGCCGGGATCAAACTGGGTTATCCGGGTGTTCGCCGCGGTCTTTCATTGAACCTGCAGAGTCGCCATGCGCTGCTGATTTAGGCCAACACTGCAATGTATGTCAATCGAAGGCGTGCTATGTGATAGAAGCCGGCAGCTGGCGGTGCCTGCACCGCTCCTCTGAGCGCTGACCGGACACCGGACCGCGCTCTGAGCGCTGACAGGGCACCGCACCGCCCCTCTGAGCGCTGACCGGACACCCGCCACCGCGCTCTGAGCGCTGAACGGTCGCCACACCGCCCCTCTGAGCGCTGACCGGACACCGCACCGCGCTCTGAGCGCTGAACGGTTCGCCACACACCGCCCCTCTGAGCGCTGACCGGACACCGCACCGCGCTCTGAGCGCTGAACGGTCGCCACACCGCGCTCTGAGCGCTGACAGGGCACCGCAACGGCCCTCCGAGCGTTGACCAGCCACTCCGCCGCCCCTCTGAGTGCTAACCGGCCGTCGCGCCGCATCCCTGAGCTCTGACCAGCCGCCCCGCGCCGCAGGAACCAAGGGCACCGCAAGTCTGGTGCCGGGGAACCCAAGACCGGGCCCGCCCGGGCCGTCGGGCCCGCCGGGCCCGCCGGGGTCTGGACGGCTTGCCCGGCCCGGACGGCACGGACGGTCTGCCGGGCCCCAGTGGCCCGCCGGGTGACGACTGTACCCCATATGGAGGTGAGCGCCCCCCCCCCTCCGTCGTCCCCCTCCGGCGGCGCCTCGGACCCACGCTGCCTGCTGTGTGTTGCGGGAGTCTGCAGTGATGGTACGATGAATGGGGGGGGGGGGGGGGGGGTAACCAAGTGAGGGTGAACTGGTCTCAACGGGACGGACGGGCTCAGAGCGCCTGTCCTGCGTCTCCCGGCGTGGCGTGTCTTGCAGCTTCACACGGAATGTGTCTCCGTCGCCGGATGACTGAAGCAGCGTGTCGCGCCGCCGCCCCGACCTGACGTATGTCTGTGTTTGACCCAGTGACCTGGGCTGACCTGTACCCGCGCTTGACCCGATGACCTGCCCTGACTGTGTACCCGTAACCCTGTGACCTGACCCGTGACCTGACTTGGCGTCCCGCTCGTCCTCAGGGTCGCCGTGCCAGAAGGGCGAACGTGGCTGGCCGGGACTGTCCGGCCGGCCCGGCCCGGACGGGGTCGCCGGTCCCCGCGGTCCCTTCGGACCACCGGGACTGCCAGGCCTGGTGGGCCGCAGCGGCTACCCCGGTCTCGATGGACTGCCCGGCGCTGCAGGTGGGCAGGGCTGCGGACCGGGCTGAGCTGGGCCGGACCGGGCCGGCCCGGACCAGACCGACTGATCTCGACCGGACCGGACCAGGCCGGCCGAGCTTGACCGGGCCGAACCGGCTGGGTTCGACCAGACCGGATTGGACCGGACCGGGCTGAACTGGATCGGACAGGACCGGACCGGACCGGGCTGAGCTGGATCGGACCGGACCGGCCGGACCGGGCTGACCTGGTTGCACTTGACCTGTTGGTATTAATATGCGACAGGACATGCTGTACACTCTCGTGATGGCTTACTGCGCGCGAGGTTTCAGAAAAGTTACACATTCATTTAGTTTCGCGAGATCGCTTATGTTTCCAAATAGACTCAGTGTATGTTTTGAACGTTGACACTTTGCCGGTTTTGGGAAACGTTTGTGGCCTGAAGTAACGAAATGAAATTCGCATTCAGATCTGAAAACACTTGGCTGCAGGGTGACATCATGATCACATGTTGCGTTTAGTTTGGACAAACTTTTTACAGCTTATGTGCGGCTGCCCAAGGGCCAAACTCAAGAGGCGGCAGTGACCCGACTTTTACCACTTCTCGTCCTCCGCGTGATGAGCCGGTAGCCTCCCTGTTCCAGCGCCCCCTCTCCCTCTCCCGTGACCCGGCGCCGCCGTGCCGCAGGCGTGGCCGGCTCGCCCGGCTGGCCCGGTTCCCCCGGCCTCCTGATCATGCCGCCGGGCACCGCCGGCGACAGGGGGGCACCAGGCGCGCCGGGCTTCCGCGACGGCGAGCCTGGCCCCGCCGGCCGGCCCGGCCCCGACGGCCTGGACGGGCTGCCCGGCAGCGCAGGCCTGCCCGGACTGCCGGTAAGACGCGGAGGAGACAGCACACTGCCCTGCGGCACTCCAGGCCACATAGCCACAGCCGTCTCCTGACACATGGCTGACAACCAGGATGGGACGTTGACGGTGTTGGGATGGTGTTCTGTTAGCGACAATGGACCGGTATGACAGATCGGTATGCCGCATGACAGCTTTCTACAGTCGGTCTGCTTGGTTGCATGCTTACCTGATGTCATCTCTAGCCGAGATAGAGTGGTGAGACAAGCAGGGAGATGCCCAGAGCGGACTTCAGGCGAACTGAGAGTAGTCCGCATAAGGCGATGCTCCACCAAAGCTGAACACTGAACCCACACCATCCAGCATGGTTTTGCATGATCAGCAATGAATGTGACTCTGGTTTGGTGTTGAGGCCTGGGACGGGACGGTATTGCTGTGAGTGCACTTCCATCGAAATAATGCAACTCTAAGCACACGCGGGGCTCAGCACACTAGAATTCTGAGGCGAAAATGAGACTGACACGTCATCACCGCGGACGGGGATGGGACTGTCAAATCTCATGACGGCCTTCATGTGTGCGTAAACCTACTGGTGATGCCTACATTTAAATAATTTTTATATTATTATAATATTATATATATATATATATATCCTCTCTCTTCTCTCCTCTCTTCTCTTCTCTCTCCTCTCTCTCCTCTCTCTCTCTCTCTCCTCTTCTTTCTTCTCCTCTCTTCTCCTCTCTCTCTCTCCCTCTCTCTCTCTCTCTCTCTCTCTCTTTCTCTCCTATATATATATATATTATATAAATAAATATTATTAAATAATTAAATAATTAATAAGAAAACAGAGTGAATTTTTAGACGCATGATGAGCAACGTCATAATTTCTACCAGGCAGGGGTAGGTCGAAACTACCCCTGCCTTTAGCTATCTTGAACCTGCTGCCTCGAGCCTACCACATTGGAGCTAACGGTTAGCTTCGACTCCTGTAACGGTTACGTAACAAATATTTTCGGCGCGGCATCGTTGGTGATGTTGGCGTGTGTGTCTCAATATACAAGTTCGCTATGCGCCATGATCATTTTGCTAATGATCTCACAGCAACTGATGTGACAACTTATGGTGAATCTTTATCTCTATGATCTTGTGGTACTTGGTATGGCCTCGGGGAAAATGTCATGATGTCACGCCAAAGACCTCACCATCATGTCGCACTATGGTCGGCTTTTCCCTTTGTCACGTCATTGCACCGCCCGATTTCTATGACCGTCAGCGCGTTGTAGGGCTTCGGCGAGTGCTGACCTGACTCCTGAACGCTAACCCCAGGGCGAGTACGGCGAGCCCGGTCTGCCGGGACTGGACGGCACCGACGGCCGGCCCGGACGTCCGGGCACGGACGCCGACACGTTCAACGTCTTCTACCTGAAGGGAGAGAGCGGTCCGCCCGGCCTAGAGTAAGCACTCGTCCCTGCTGCGACTAAGCGGCGAGTTGTCTCACACCGTCCGACAGTGAGCTGCAGTGAGGTCCCGCTCCGTCCCACGAGCGAGCTTTGAGAGCGGTCTTGTCCTGGCTCGGGGCCGGCTGCTGGTAGCGTCTCGAACACCGACTCCGTCCGGCGTCCGGCAGGCTGACCTGGAGAGCCCGGAGGGGGGAGGGGGCGGGGCGCAGCTGGGGGTTCGGCTCTTAGGAGCGACAAGCCTGATGACGATGATTGGAATTATTAGGCAAATGAACATTAATTATATGGCGACTATTAGGGGTGCTCCTGAAAATGGGAGGCTTTAGAGCGGCACAGCCAAGATGATCGGCGGTGGTGAGCCTAGACAAGCAGCTTGATCCGAAGGGCGGGCATGATTCTCTTATTCCGGAGAGATCATGTCTGAAACACTTCAGTCAGAGGCGGATTCATAACGACCAACCCCCTCCCCACACACCAAGATGGCCAAAGTCTGGCAAGAAATGATAATTTCTGGAGGTCGAATGGAATCTAAGCAACACTTATGCAGAAACATTTGCTTTAGGACACCCTGGAGATAAATTAAGCAGAATGAGATGAGCTTTTCAAAATCAGGACATCTTTTCTATTTTTCCCCCAAGCAGGTGTTGTTCCCCTGCCCCCCCCCCCCCCCTAAAGGACGACGTTGTGGAACCGCCTTTGACTCCCAAATGTAAGACGTTCTGCGACATATATGTGAAGTCAAAATGAAGAGAAAAGACGCTAAGCGTTGTTTGGAATGCTCGCACCTACGAGGCTGTCAGTTAAGTCCTGACCCGAGTTGCACCCCATTCATCCGCCCTCACTCCCGAACGTGAGTACTGCACCCGGCAAATGTCCCGCGCGCCACACTGCACCACCCTTGGCCTTGTATAATGTTGACCTTCCTAGGAGCCGCGTGGTCCCGGCCTTCCCTGTTTCGCACGTGGTCACGGACTGCCCTGATGTCGGCCGTGGTGGAGCTTGACGCGACGGGCCTGCCTTGGCGTCGTCCGTCATTGCCCGCTCTGTGCCGCACCCCAGCATCAAGCCATCAAGCGCGCGTGCTCAACACCCGCCTTCTTTGCAGCGGACCGCCGGGACTGGACGGCCCGGACGGGCCGCCGGGGGAGCCAGGAGACGCCAGCGAGCCCGATGTTGGCCGCGCAGGCCGGGCGAGCCCGGCGAACCCGGCTTTCCAGGTGGGCGGCCGACGCCGCGCGCTCGGCCGGTCGGCGCGGCGCGGCGGCGGCTGCGGGCGGGCGGGTGTCACGCGCGAGAGTGCGGGGAACTGATGAAACGTGCCGGCTAACAACGCGACAAACGTCCATTGTCTGCAGCACAGCACCGGTTTGAATTCTCTTCACCGCCGTGGAACGTGCTTGTACAAGTGGTAGCCCGAGGGTGCCGGAAGCTTAATGATGGTCCAACTTCGCTCTAATTCTTGAACAGAAGCGCCAGCGAGCACTGTGATAACGCAGGCACAACTTCCTGGCTTTTTCGAAGTGGCGGCGCCCTCTGATGTTTTGCAGCTGCTTCCGTTCCGACCCCAGGCATTCATATATAAGATTAAATACTGAAAGACCAAATGCTTCTGAAACCCGAACATACCCGTATGATTTGTCATAATCGCGTTGTCGCGTGTTTGTCTTCCAATGCAATGACATTTTTTAAGTTGCCCCCCGAAACGTAACGTTATTAAATGCTCTACGGCGGTGTTTCCAATCACCGCCGGGCCCATCCCCAGCGACAGCACCATGACGAGTCCTGTTGCAGGTCCAGCCGGGCCTGAACGGGCCCCCCGGGCTTCCGCGGCTGCCCGGGTCGAATCGGGCCGCGAGGGTGGCCGGGGCCGCCGGGGCCCTCACTCCGCGGTCCGCCCGGCTTCAAGGGCTTCCCGGGAGGCCCGGGCGGGGCCGGCCTGCCCGGCCTGGCCGGCGCTGACGGACAGCCCGGCCGGGGCGGAGACCAGGTCAGGGGCGCGCACACCGCGCACCGCCGAGCGGCTCCGCGCGCGTGGCCAGTGCGGTTCGCGTGGTCCATTCAAGGGTACTCCTGCTATGCGTGGTTCGTGCTGCGCTGCACCGTGTCCGGAGCTGCTCTGTCGGCGATCGTGTCACCGCCGTGCCGCCTGTCGGCACTCGTGTCACCGCCGTGCCGCCTGTCGGCGCTCGTGCCACCACCGTGCCGCCTTTCTGCGCCTGGACGGCAGCAGGCCGTATTTTTCCGCTGCCTTTGACCGCTGCGTTCCGCTGTTTTTCCGTCGCGTTTCTGCTGCGTCCCGCCGTCTGGCCTCGACGCAGTGCTTGACCTTTGACCTCCGTTCCCCTGCGGGCAGGGCTGGCCCGGCCTGCCCGGCTTCCCCGGCGACCCGGGGCTGCCCATCCTGCCCGGCACGCCCGGACCCAGCGCGCCGGACGGCCTGCCCGGCGAGCCCGGCCGGCGCGGGCCGGACGGATCGGACGGACTGCCCGGACCGCGCGGACCGTCCGGCAGACCCGGACGGCCGGGCGACAGCGCTCCGGATGGGACACCCGGCTTCAAGGTGCGGCCGCCGGGCGTCGCAGGGGCTTTTGAACGGGCAGAGGATGGTGATTGGGGAATTGGCGCGTAGCGGTAGTTATTCGCCGCCACGTGCTGATCAGGTAACCGGTCCTGTGTGTGGCTAGATGCATGGGTGACCTATGAATGGATGCTTATATTTCAAAAATTGATAGCCAGACGAAGTAGTAACAGTTGTCACACAGGAAGAAGTGTGAAAGACAGGTAGAAGGCCAAACAGATGGACAGTCATATATGCAACTAAATGAACAAAAAGTCAGGTAAACAGATGGACAGATGAAACGTTAGGCAGGAAGTCAGATGGTTAATGCGTTATATGCCGTCCACCTTGCTAAAAAGGCCCTTCCGTAGATGGCTGTCTAGGGCCCTGTGTGTCACAGTAGACCCTTGGGTGCCAAAATAGGATCCTGAGTGCCACAACTAGGCCCGTTGGGCTACAATAGGCCCGCGGCTCTGTGGCGATACGACGGCGGTAAGGTTTATTGCGTAACAATGATGGGTTACACTAACAGTTACAGCTACGGTAAAAGCAACAGTAACCGTGCTAGGTTAGTCCGACGGAGCCCGCTCTGTGACCGGTGCGGCTGCTGACCCACCGGCCCGGAGGTCGTCCTGCATTGGGGTCACGGTCGTGTGCCGACAGGGGGCACGAGGCCCACCAGGCGACAGCCGGCCCGGCCGGCCGGGTCCGCCCGGCCGCGTCGGCCTGCCCGGCCTGCCCGGCGAGCTGGGCCTGCCGGGCCCCGACGGCGTGCCCGGCCTGCGCGGCCTGGTCGGGCAGCCGGGCATGCCCGGCGAGCAGGGTCCGAGCGCGGGCCGCGGCGAGCCCGGGCAGCCGGGGCAGCCGGGCCGCCGCGGTGCGCCCGGAGGCCCCGGCCGGCCTGGGATCGACGGACCGGCCGGCCTGCGCGGCGACGATAGCAGAAACCCAGGTGCGTGCTCCGCGCGGTCGGCTACCAGCGCTCCCTCACCCTCTCCCCCGGCTCGACTATCCGCGGCTGACTCCAGGCTAAGCGGGCCGTCTTTTCTCCGTGGGATGGGCTCGGCAAGCGCTTGCCTCATGCCGCTGGCTCTGTTTGCCGTCAGCTGCCTGCATTTTTTTCAGTGGCGATGTTATCTGCCAAACCCACTGCCTGCTGCTTGATTTTGGTAGCATGGAATCAGACTTTACACGGGTTTGAATGCTCAATGCCCAGCATCCGTGATTGGTTGCCGCCCAGACGTCAGCCGTCCCGCTCAGCTGTGATTGGTTGGATACCCAAACGTCAGCTTCCCTGCGATGCCTGTCGTCTGCGATTGGTTGAAGCACCGTGATGTCAGCCGTTCGCACATTGCGCACAGATTGATCGCTACGTTTACATTACGATCAGTCACGTAACGTGAGAAGAATAAACGTCAGTATCCCCCCCCCCCCCATCGCCAAACTTCACCAAGAGCATGATAACTATATGAACAGGGTGCGCCTGTCTGTCTGTCTGTCTGTTGTCGTCGTTTGCCTTTTGAGCCACGTGTAAGTCGAACGACGAGTGTGACGGAAATCCCGTGTTCATCACTGGCCGCGGTGCCCAGACCGCCCGTGATTGGTTGCAATGTCGGGACATCACTCGCCCGTGTCTGTGATTGGCTGTGGTGCCCTGACGCGCCCGTCTCTCCGTCAGGTCCGGCCGGCCTGCCGGGACGGCCGGGCCCACCGGGCCGGGGCGCCCAGAAGGGCTCCGTCGGTGAACCTGGGCCTCCGGGGCCCCAGGGCTGGCCCCCGGGCGCGCCCGGCGACAAGGGTGCGAGCGGCGTGTACGGCCCACCGGGGCCTCCGGGCCCGCCCGGCGAGCCCGGTTCGGCCTCCAAGCGCGGCTGCCCGGGCAAAATCGGCCTGCCCGGCCCACCTGGCTGGCCCGGCACCATGGGCCCGGACGGGCTGCCGGACTGCCCGGACCGCCCGGCGACGGCCTCCCCGGCCTGCCCGGCCCGTCCGGCGGTCCCGGGGACCGCGGACCGCCTGGGACCGGACGGCCGCGTCGGTCTCAAGGTGCGTGCGACGCTCCGCCCGTCCGCAGCCGAGCGTGCGTGGTCGGCGTTGCCATGTTTACATAGCTGGCTTGTGGTGGTTAGGTGTGACTCTCTGCTCGTGGTTATCGCATGTGAAGACTGTGCAGAGGCTCTTAAAACTTACCTCAGTTTTTGTAAACCCCAACGGACAGCTAAACGAAATGAGTTTGAAGCGGACGGCGTGAACGCAACTTGGCGACGGCTCTGTGCCCGCCAGCCATTTTGCGCCTGATGTATTTTAGAGCGACCTTGCCCCTGGACAAGCTATCCCGTCGGGTGGCGTGCGCAGACCGTCGGGAATGACACACCCATCGTCCCTGTGCTGGGCCGTGTACCGTGTGTCTGACCTGACCTGCCCTGACCTGATTCCGCAGGGCTTGCCCGGGGACACGAATCGCCTGCCGGGCCCGCCGGGCCCACGTGGGGATCCAGGCGTCGACGGCCGGCCGGGCCCGCGGGGCCCTCGCGGCCGGCCCGGCTCCCCCGGCTTCGGCGGCGACCGGGGCATGCCCGGCCTGGAAGGCATGCCCGGCCTGCTCGGTCCCGCCGGCGATCCTGGCACACCCGGCCGGCCAGGTATGACGTCATTCGGCCCGTGGCCAGGACGGACCAATAGTGTGCCGGGGTGTATCACTGAGCACTAAACACTGAGCACTGAGCACTGAGCGCTGGCACTGAGCGCTGAGCATTGGCACTGAGCACTGACACTGAGCACTGAGCGCTGGCACTGAGCACTGAGCACTGAGCGCTGGCACTGAGCACTGAGCACTGAGTGCTGGCACTGAGCACTGAGCACTGGCACTGAGCATTGCGACGTGGTTGGTGATCCTCGTAGACGAGACAGTTTGAGACTGCATAATCTGGGCGAAATTTACTGTTCGAAACGGTGCTGCTGATATTGATGTTTACAAACAAAATTCCGCACAGCTTCAGCGCGGAGAAATGCTGGTAAAACGCTACACAATACGGTTGGTGTATTACAATGTTCAGACACGTCTTATTGTCCGACTGCGGTTTGGTGACATTGTTAAACACATGTCAGGTTATTGTTTAAAGGGTGACAGACACTTGAGCTGAAAAAAAACAAAATCAGCCCTCGTCGTGTCTAAGTAAGTAACGGGCGACATGTTAAGCTTCTCTATGGAAGTGGATGGGGTCAACGATAGTTCGCTGGGATGAAATTGGTGGAAACAAATGGCAAGTGATTCTTTAAGCAGCCAAGAAGGAATAGGCCGAAGTTTTCAACCACCTTTGACCAGCCAAAACGAAAACAGGCTTGCGGCTTCCTCCTGATCTAAATCCTTACTTTCCACGACGTAACTTGCTTGTAGAAATCGTGTTTGGAAACCCCCACAACATGAAGTGACTATAACTGAGGTGTTCTAAATTGCGGGGGGCGGGGGGCGCCTCATGCTGAACTGAGCCCAGTGCCCAATGGCCCAGGCGTCCTGAATCATGCCCCCCCCCCCCCGGCGCACTTTTTGAGGGTCATGTCCAGGCCGGATGTGGCAACTAATTGCACTGGACGTCGCGTCACATTTGACCTCGTTTGTCTTCATTTTGCGGGGTGCCTCATCCGCCCACGTGCCAGTTATTGTGAGTGCTTTTTCGTGAGTTTTTTTCTGGTGAGCATATTAGATCAATCGTCAATCTTCAACGCATCTCTTCAGGCGAAAAGTACCCTATGGAATCACAAAGCGGACCTACTTACTGAAATGCGGTTTTGTGGAATCTTGAAGAAAATGCACTGGCGTAGAGTCTCAGCGCCGTAGATTTTGCGAGGGGCCATCGCCTCCTTGCCAGTGGATCGTTGAACTGTGAACGGAGACAGTGCGCCATGGAACGCTTGCTTTGAGCGGTACCCTTCTGGCGCGTGGCACCCACTTGACGTGCAACTCCACTTGCACGATGCAGCACCCTCGCACCGCGCAGCACGTCTGAACGGTGTAACACCCCTTCGCTCTGCGAGATCCCAGTAGAGTCACAGCGTGTAACACCCCTGCAGAGTACAACACCGCTGTTCACCCTCACACACCCGTGATCCGTCACACGCGTGTGACGCGTCGTGATCAGTGAGGTAACCAGTGTGACGCGACGTGCAACACTCCCACGCCGCGTCACACTCTTGTGCTGTCTAGCATCGCTACACCCCTGCGCTGTGAAACTCCAATGCACCGCACATCGCTCCTCAGCTGTGTAAGAACCCTGCATCGCATGACACCGCGGTGCTGTTTAGCACCTGAGTGGGGTGTAATAGCTCTGTATGGGTGTAACACCTCTGTGGGGATCTAACACCTGTGAGGTTGTAACGTCTATGCGGGTCGTAACACCTCTTCGGGGTGTATCATCTCTGCGGGGGTGTAGCATCTCTGCGGGGGTGTAACACCTCTGCGGGGGTGTAACACCTCTGCGGGGATGTAACACATCTGGGGTATAACACCCTTGCGAAGCGCTGCTGCCGCAAAATGACGCGGTTTCTGCCGCAGGCCTACCTGGAGGACCGGGTCGGCGCAGCGGTCGGCCCGGTCTCCCGGGCCAGGACGGCTTCAACGGACCACCGGGCCAGGACGGGCCACCCGGACTGCCAGGCCTGGCCGGCAAGCGCGGCTGCCCGGGTCGGCTGGGCCTGAAGGGCAACCCGGGCCTTCCGGGCCTCCCCGGCCCGGCGGGCCCGGGCGGACCCACCGGCCGACCGGGCGAGCCAGGGCTGCGCGGTCCGGACGGCCTGCCCGGCCGCGCCGGCGGCCGGGGCCAGCCGGGCGACGGCGGCCCGCGCGGCCCGCCCGGGCCCGGCAGCGTCGGTCGCGGCGGCGAGCGGGGCACGGACGGGTCGCCGGGTCTGCCGGGCCTCAGTGGCCCGTCCGGCCCGGCCGGAGACCCTGGCGATGACGGCGACAGCGGCCTGCCCGGCCTGCCCGGCTTCGACGGGCCGCCCGGGATCTCACCCAAGGGCGAGCGCGGCTACGACGGCGGCCCCGGCAGAGACGGCGTGCCGGGCCGCGACGGTGGGCCCGGCCAGCCGGGGCCAGCCGGGCCCGACGGTAGACCGGGACCGTCCGGCGACAGGGGTCTGGACGCACCGCCGGGCTTGCCGTGAGTCAGGGGCCGCCGTCACCGCCGCCACCAGCAGGGTGGTGTGATTTGGCGGAAGCAAAGACGGTGAAGTGTTGAGAGCGATCAGCTTTGCAGCCGTGACGGTACAAAGAAACAGTCCTAACATGGTTTGAAATGGAAAGGATTGGTCCTAATGCGCGAGACATTAACAATCAACAATCGGCACGTGGCTTGAGCTGATGTGTTTTCTCAGTGTGCAGAATGTGCCGGCCTGGCAGGCGGCGATGGTGCAGACTGCGCCCCGCTCTTCAATGCGCGGACAGCACGGTCACCATTCAGTGGCGTAGCCAGGGTTTCCCCCTGGAGGGGACCAAATTAGGTCACAGGGGGCCCTTTCAGTCAACGGGGTATTGTTTTGCCGCTTTGGGCCCTTTGTTTTTATTCGGAGTTCATTTTGAGGCTAGGGGTCCTATTCTGATGCCTAGCGAGTCTATTTTATGTTTTGCAATCCATTCAAATTTCGAGGCTTTAAAATGCAAAGAACTGGGGGGCATCGGTCTCAGACCCCTCTCCCCCGCCACCCCCAGGGGTATGGGCCCAAAAGCTCCTCTCTTGGCTACGCCTCTGCCCATTACCCCAGTCGTGACCTATTTGCGGTGTCTAGGCCTATCTTGACCTGCACCTGCCGCACCCGGCAGCAGCGCGTCTGACCTGCGCCGCTCTGACCTGTGCCTCGCCCTCCGGCAGCGGCCAGCGGGGTGAGCCCGGCTACCCGGCCCTCGACGGTCTGCCCGGACCGAGAGGCTATAAGGGCGAGCCCGGCCTTCCCGGCCTGGACGGCCGGGGCGGGAACCCGGGCCGGCCAGGCGACCGCGGCCTGGACGGCCTGCCTGGCTCGCCGGGCCGGCGCGGCCAGCGGGGTTGCCCCGGCGCGCCGGCACCTGGCTGGACGGCGGACCTGGCCTGCCGGGCGACGCCGGCCCGGACGGCTTCCCCGGGCTGGCCGGCCGGCCCGGCGAGCCCGGCCTGCCGGGGGTTGGACGGCCTGCCGGGCGGGTTGGGAGAGCCGGGCCTGCCCGGCCTGCGCGGCCCGCCCGGCTGGCGGCCGGGCCCGCCCGGGCCCACCGGCGACCCCGGCGGCCGCGGCCCGCCCGGGCCCTACGGCCCGCCGGGAGGGCCGGGGCCCTCCTGGCGACGACGCGCCGCAGACCGGGCCGCCGCCGCCCTCGCGCGGCTTCTTCTTCACGCGGCACAGCCAGTCGACGTACGTGCCGCAGTGTCCGCCCGGCACCAGCCAGCTGTGGCAGGGCTACTCGCTGCTGCACGTCACTGGGAATGCCAAGGCTCACGGCGCCGACCTCGGTGAGCGCAGTTTCAGACTCTATAATGATCCTGGACGTAGACCCGCGCGTCCCACCATGCCAGTGCACGCATACACTCTGAGTCCGCATGCAGAGTCCGCCTTAACGCCTGATGTGAACGCACCACAGGTACGCCAGGCTCCTGCCTGCTCAAGTTCACCACCATGCCGTACGTCTTCTGCAGCGGCAACGAGAAGTGCGAGTATGCCCAGCGTAACGACTACAGCTATTGGCTAAACACGCCGGAGCCGATGCCGGTGATGATGACACCGATTACGGGGGTTAACATCCAGCGGTACATCTCACGGTACGCGGGTGATGAGGATGTGTCCAGCTGGTACGCCTGTGATGAGGGTGTGTTCAGCTGGTACGCGTGTGATGAGAGTATATCCAGCTGTTACGCGTGTGATGAAAGTGTATCCAGTTGGCACGCCTGTGACGAGAGTATATCCAGTTGGCACGCCTGTGACGAGAGTATATCCAGTTGGCACGCCTGTGACGAGAGTATATCCAGTTGGCACGCCTGTGACGAGAGTATATCCAGTTGGCACGCCTGCGACGAGAGTATATCCGGTTGGTACGCCTGTGACGAGAGTATATCCAGTTGGTACGCCTGTGACGAGAGTATATCCAGTTGGTACGCCTGTGACGAGAGTATATCCAGTTGGTACGCCTGCGACGAGAGTATATCCAGTTGGGAGGCCTGTGACGAGAGTATATCCAGTTGGTACGCCTGCGACGAGAGTATATCCAGCGGGTTCGCCTGTGACGAGAGTATATCCAGCGGGTTCGCCTGTGATGAGAGTAGTTCCAGCTGGTACGCATGTGATGAGAGTATACCAAACTGGAACGCCTGTGATGGGGGTGTATCCAGCTGGTACGCCTGTGGTGAGGGTGCATCCGGCTGGTACGCTTGTGGTGAGGATGTTATCCGGCTGGTACGCGTGTGATGAGAGTATATCCAACTGGAACACCTGTGATGAGGGCGTATCCAGCTGGTACGCCTGTGATGAGAGTATATCCAGCTGATACGCCTGTGATGAGAGTATATCCGGCTGGTACGCCCGTGATGAGAGTGTATCCAGCTGGTACGCCTGTGGTAAGGGTGTCCACAATCCACACCGAGTGATGTGTCACACTGTCAGAGTGACGTGCCAGACAGTCAGAGTGGTGTGCCAGACAGTCAGAGTGGTGTGTCAGACAGTCAGAGTGGTGTGTCAGACAGTCAGAGTGGTGTGTCAGACAGTCAGTATGCATGCTCCGCGAACGGCGTTCGGCTAATTTACCGAAAATCAAGTGGTGCCCATACACCGAATTGGTTCTCAAGTTTCCCATCTTTTCAGGGGCGTAGTTTCCTATTCAGTTGAGGGAACTCCAGCCCCTTCTCCCCTCCCCCCAAACACACATGACCTCCAGCCCCCCCCCCCCTACACACACTTGGACCCAGGCCCCCCAACTGTTAGAAGAAAGTGGACCAAACCCGGGAAGAAACCACTTTGTTGGCTATTTCCGCGTAGGTTTCGTCATTTTTCACTTTCAGCCTCCATCCACCTAAACCCATTTTGCCAAACTACGCCCCTGTATCTTCCACATATGCTTGCATCTGTTGCAGCTGTTCTGTGTGTGAAGCACCAACAAGAGCCATAGCCATCCACAGCCAGGACGTGGCCATACCGGAGTGTCCAGCCAACTGGGAAACCATGTGGACCGGCTACTCCTTCCTCATGGTGAGGCACGACGTTGTTGGAAGCCTTTGCTACCCGCAGGTTTACGCACGAGTTTTCAGTTGACGTTTCTTCTGACGATCCCACTGATGTATTCGTGCTTATTTTTGATCTATGTTATTTCTGTATTATTTTTGCTATATGCTGACGTTTCCGTGCTTATATTCCGAAGCTAAGTATTAAGCAAGTCTTCCGCGGCAATGAGGCGGCGAGCGATGTATATACACTGGCACCTTGCTCTTCTCGAATTCAAACTTACGTTTGAATTCGGTTGCATGACCAATATGGCTACTAGCTCGTGTGAGTCTGGCCGTTTGCGTGTGACACCATCACTACACATGTGACTGTAAACTACCCAGGTGGCTGTTAACTACCCATGTGACCGTATATCTGCCCATGTGACTATTTGGCCGTCCTCGCGTCCACAAACCGTGCTTGTGAGAATACGACTGGGCCTGTCACGGCCAAAGTGTGACCAAAACCTCGCTGGGACCGACGACTCTGCTGTTGTGCTGGGGCCTGGCTGCCCCGTTGGTGACCGAGGCCGGCTGTGCCGCAGCACACGGACGCGGGCGCCGAGGGCGGCGGCCAGTCGCTCGTCTCTCCCGGCTCCTGCCTGGAGGACTTCCGGCCGACGCCCTTCATCGAATGCCACGGCCACGGCCGCTGCAACTTCTTCACCACCGCCTACTCCTTCTGGCTGACCACCATCGCCGAGTACGCACAGTTCCGCCAGCCGCAGCAGCAGACGCTGAAGGCGGGCAACTTGCGAACACGCGTCTCGCGCTGCGTCGTCTGCCGCCGTCGCTACCGACTGCCGCCGCCGCCGCCGCCGCCGCCCTCGTGGCAGTTCGAGCTGCCGTTCTATGGGCGGTCCGCACGACACGCACCCGGCAACAGCACGGCGCCGGCCGCCTAGCGGGCGGGCCGCCGCCGCCGCTGGGGACCGCACGACGTCACGCGTGACGAGCGTGACGCGACGAGTCCGCACCGGGGCAGCCTGGGGCGCCAACGGCGCGGCGGGGCGCCCGCGCGCGCCGGGGGTCCCGGGCTACGCCACATTCACTGCCATAACACTGCCCATTCACTGCCCAACGCTGCCCGGGTCCGCCGCCGGCTGGAGGGGTGGGGGGGGGGGGGGGAGGTGTTCGCGAGGACGATCAGGGAGCGTCTGTGCTCGGAGGGTGAGGCGGCTGCTGCCGTGCCGTAGCGGAGGACGTGGAACGTGACGTGCCGTGGAGTCTGTCCTAGGACGTGCCAGTGCTTACGCTCCACATGTGGTGGCACGTGCCTCACACGGCCCCGGCAGTGATGGCCCGGACGCACGCGTCGCTCTGGGTCCCGCTGCCGGTAGTGATGGCTCGGACGCACGCGTCGCTTTGGGTCTCCTTGCCGGTAGTGATGGCCCGGACGCACGCGTCGCTCTGGGTCCCCAGCCGTGATTAAGGTTTCCGTGTCAATGGCATTGCGACCAGCCAGCGGAGCGCAGTGCCTGAGAAAATCGCGACAAAATTGGAAATTGTACGAACGGTACGGTGCTCAGTGATATCAACGCACGATGAAGTGGTATGTCTTAAATACACGGCAAGCTGTGAATCATACACGGTGCGATTGATAACCAACGTGAATCATTATCACATGATCGCTTTCGGCCAACGCAATCGATTGTGCAGATCTTAGCGCAGTGAGCAGTGAAAGTCCAGCTTGATCGAAAGCTTATGTGCGGTAACGGCGGCGGGTCGGTGATCTCACAGCACAGCGTATAGCAGGCTAGCAGAAGCGAATTATGACACCTGGATTATTTGCACGACAGTCGTGTGCATATGCAGTACGCAGTGCTGAGCTTACTGCGATGACGTTCGAATCCAAAGCCGTGGTTTTTAATTTTGTCCCGCTGCGTTGCGCGATTTTACTGCTTGAGCCCCATCAGCTTCGTTCAACCGCCGGTGATATGTAGCTTTACGTGTTGTACACGAACAACTAATGACTCACGCACGCACATAAATCAATGTCAGCAGCGAGTGCTACGCAACGCATTCTTTCACGCGAACGGTATATCTAATATCTCTCCAGCAACTGCTATTTAGGTCGCGTTCTGGCAAACCACACGGCGTCGGCGACTGCGTGAAACATGACGCCACCGGATCAAACTCTGACCTCATGTGCACTCCCTCGCATCTCGCCAGTGGTGGCGACGTCACCGGATCAATATCTGACGTCAGGTGCACTTCCTCGCATCTCGCTAGTGCTGACGACGTCACCGGATCAAACTCTGACGTCAGGCGCACTCCCTCGCATCTCGCCAGTGGTGGCGACGTCACCGGATCAAACTCTGACGTCAGGCGCACTCCCTCGCATCTCGCCAGTGGTGGCGACGTCACCGGATCAAACTCTGACGTCAGGCGCACTCCCTCGCATCTCGCCAGTGGTGGCGACGTCACCGGATCAAACTCTGACGTCAGGCGCACTCCCTCGCATCTCGCCAGTGGTGGCGACGTCACCGGATCAAACTCTGACGTCAGGCGCACTCCCTCGCATCTCGCCAGTGGTGGCGACGCCACCGGATCAAACTCTGGCGTCAGGGGCACTCCCTCGCATCTCGCCAGTGGTGGCGACGCCACTGGGTCAAACTCTAACCTCATGTGCACTCCCTAGCAGCTCGCTAGTCGCTGCCGTCGCTGAAACGCCGCCGTTGGACGCGGGGATTATGCTGAATGGCGCCTCCATTGATCATGCCACCCGTGCGATTTGTGGTAAAACACGTATTTTAACGCGGCTTCAGTTTCAGTACCAGTGGTGGTACTGAAGCCAGCCGTCCCGGTGGCTCAGTTGGTTAGAGCGCCTGCCTTCCGATGCGCCCACCCGTGGCGGGGTGGGTTCGAGTCGCTTTAAAGCGCTTGCTATTTGCCCTTGACAGGTATGGCCTGCGGCCGAAGGCAGCGGTCGCGCTAAAGATCAGTTGACATCAGAGGGCAGGACGGACCGTGCCGAGCATTGCGGCACGCTAAGCTTTCGCCACCAAATTCTGCCGTTGACATGGAATTGCGCGATCGGATGGTAGGGGTCAAGGCTCACACAACAAGCACTGCTTAGCGTGAGCTCTGATCCCGGAACTCCATCCACTCAAAGGGTTCGGATCAAATCTTTAAATAAGTACAAAAGGGCCGCGTTAATGAAGCTATCCTTCAGATAACTGGGTTGCATCGCAAATTATGCACATTCCGTATCTGGTTCACGAGAAGTGGTTATACCCCGCAGGCCGACTCGCTGTGTCACTGGACTGCCATCGGAAAACATGGATGCTTATAGGTCCTGACGGCGGAAGGCGCCAGCTGAGCCGTAAAGTGCTGCCACCTATACATCGGCAAACCGTATTTAGCCACATCACGCCAGCGCATGAAAAGGGACCGCCCATAAATTACGCTGAGTAGCTTTCGTCATTGGCAACCCTCCCGCTCCCCATGTTACACGCTGGTTACGCTTGGTTAAGTAACCAAGGTGTAACCCCCCTCCCCGTGGTCACGCTGGTAACGCCCCGAGAAAGCAACGTGTTTTTGGCCCCTATTGAGCCAAAGCTGTGAAACAAATGAAGACCATGTTTCTTTTCATGAAACACAGCACATGAGTATAGGGCTTTGAGGTTTCATTAACTAATGCTTTAGTAAGATTAGGAAGTAGACTTGGGTGTAACGTTGCGTTGTCCAAGACCTCGCCCTCTCTCCCATGCTATGCTTTTGCTTTGCCCCACTTCATAAAAAGCCCTCCCCCGCCACGCGTAACGACCGTGTGGACGACCCCGAAAGCCACATCTACGCTAGCACCTCACGACGCTCACTAGTGATCGGTCACATGCGGCAATTAAACATTCGCTCCAGTCCCAGAGCTGGGAAGCAAAACTACATGAAACACTTATCTCCGGAGTTTATGCGCTAACGAAAATATGGAGACAAAAGCATCAAACAGGTCAAGAGCCATGGCGTGGTTGGACTGATCTCTTACGGGCTGTTTTATTCATCACAAGACGTCGGCTGGCACGCCACAGAGCCGAGCCGCAAGATTCGCAGGGTGGTGGATGTCGTTCGTAAAATTATTGATTTAATTAATTTAATAATTAAATGTCGATAAAATTATCACCGTATTGCGATGATCCAAGTACGCCGATGTTCCGGTCCTGGTTGGGTACTCAGACACTGGCCAATATTGGCCAGTTGGCACTCAGACGCTGGCCGATATTGGCCAGTTGGCACTCAGACGCTGGCCGATATTGGCCAGTTGGCACTCAGACACTGGCCGATACTAGCTAGTTGGTCACGGATACGCAGATTGCCGGGTGTATCCGTGACCAGGGGTGGATCCAGAGGGTGACACAGGGCCATGCCCCCTCCCCCTCCCCTTGGGCCCGAAGGGGTCCATTGGCTTCGGGGGGGGGGCATCGTCGGCCGAACAGGTGCAGTTTTTTTAACACAAAACGCAACAAAACTGGATATATATATATATATATATATTATATATATATATATATATATATATATATATATATATATATGGACTTCCAGACGACCAAGAACAGTTGTAAGCAAAACTGCAGGGCTTATGAGAAGTCAAAAAAACATCAATGATTGGAAAAGTTGTAAACTGGGAAAAAAGCCCTGTGCTGTTATTGGGGCCCTTCCTGCCAGCGTGCCGGAGCACTTTTGTCAATCACAAGCCCTTCCGCGTGTTCTTTTCATCCGCCATAAAGGCTCTGTGGGCTATAGCCGGGATCCCATATCTTAATCTGCCGGGGTGTTCTCGGTTGCTCAGGGGCCATTTACGTGGGTCTCAGTTAGCCTACCGACGCACTTGCAATATGCTCAGGGGCGCTCTTCATTGGTCTAGAGCGCTTCCAATTCTCTGTTACTTGCTTAGGGCCCCGCACTCTTGTCGGGGGTCATCTGACGGCCTGCTTGGGCACACCAGTCGTTCGGAGACCCTTCACACTGGGTCTTGGGTACTTCTTTCCTTAATTGGGGGCCCTACGCTTTTGGAGGGAAGCCCATCTGATAACCTGCTCGCCCGCATTCAATCGTTCAGGCCCTCTCTACATTGGGTCTGGGGCACATGCCATTTGAATAGGGCCCTACGCACTTGTCGTGGCCCCTCTGTTGGCCTCCTTGGCCACACTGGATTGCTCGGGGGGCCCTGCACATCCGCTCTTGGTGTTTAAATTTGGGGCCCTCTGCTCATATCGGAGTCATATCTGATAATCTGTTCGGGTACACTCCGCATCGGGTTTTAGGTACTTCTTATTTGAATGGAGGGCCTTACGCTCCTGTCGGGACCCCTTCTGATAAGATGCTTGGGAACAATCGATCGTGGGGGAAATCTACATGTGGTTTTGGGTACTTCCTTTTTGAATGGAGGGCCCTCCGCGATTTTCGGGATCCTATCTGTTAACCTGCTCTGGCGCACTCGATTATTCGGGGCCCTCCACATCGTGTCGTGGGTATTTCATATTTGAGCGCAAGGGTGAACGCTCGTCGGGACCCCATTTGTTAACCTGCTCGGGTGCACACGAATATGCGAGAGCCCTCCACATAGTGTTTTGGACACTTCTTATCTAAATGGAGGGCCCCACGTACTTGTCGGGGACCCCACCTGTGCGCCGCTTCGGCCACACTGAATTGTCCACGGGCCCTGCACATTGGGTCTTGATGTTTGAATTTAGAGCCCTGCACTCCTGTCTGGGCCACCTGATAATCTGCTCAGGTATACTCCATCTTTCCGGGCCCTCCGCACTGGGTTCTGGGTACTTCTTTTCGGAATAGAGGGCGCTACGTTCTTCTCGAATGCCTTCTGATAAGCTGCTCGGGCACATTCTATCATTCTGGGGCCATTCACAAAAGGTCTTCGGTGTTTCCCATTCGAATGGAGGGCTCT